AAGCCAGTTCTTAACCATCGCGCCACTCGGCCGGCCCTTGAGTATATTTTTTAATGTATGACACTGTAAAGAATGAACTAAAATCATGAAAATTTAATTTAGAAATCCATTATACAATTACAAGGAAATAATGTTATAGTCATTTTATAATGTTAATGCTACTTATCAACGTTTAGTATTTAAAGATGATACCAAAAATACTGTATTCTGTTAAACGGACAAATTACAAGTTTCATGCCATTTTAATGATTACTTACATGATCTTTATCCTAGGCTTAGTTAAATAAGCATCATATAATTGTCTTTTAAACCCTTACTCATTAAAAATTGAGTAAATGTAAGTATTATCTTCTAGAGAAAAAGGACAATTCTGTTAGACCTGATGGTTCCTATTTAAAACAATAATATTTTTTTTACAGGTAGGATTTTATACACCACAGAAGAGAAAACATACAGAAAAAGAGAACACAAGCTTTTTCAAGATGTCTGGTTTTAGTAGATTTGAAACTTCTTTCTTTTTATATGTAAAGTTCTTTATTTCAAATCAAGAGATCTATTTTTTTTTAATTTTTTTTTATTTATTTAATTTTTTTTTAGCTGAGCCATCCTACTACCTGTTGGCAGCTCAGTAGCTGCTCAGCTCGGGCTGGACTCAAACCGCTGTTGCTCAGAGCTCAAACTCTTGAGCGAGCTCTTACCCAACTGAGCCACTCGGCCGGCCCAAGAGATCTAATTTTAAAGAATCTCTTGTCCACTGGCATCTATGCATTTTATCACATGCAAATTTCATAGACTGACACTGCTGAGCATAATCAGCTTACGGAAATGTAGTTTGGGTTTTGCTAATAAAGACTAAATATATTTAAATATGCCATAGAGTATATTTCAAAGTAGGCTTAGAATCTATTCTAAATGATCATACCAACAGAAAATTTAGTTGCATCAACACTTACAGTAGGCTTGGGTAATGAAATTGACCTTAATGCTGGAGTTCTGCACTTGAACATATTTATTTCAGTTTTGGATACTTTATCAACAGTAGGAAGGAAATGAACTCTTCCATATTCAAGCATTTATATTGCATATGTAAGAAGTTTGCCTATGGCCAGCCGAGTGGCGCAATGGTTAAGAACTGGTTTGGGATGCCAGAGGGCCCTGGTTCGGATCCCACATATGAGGGCCAGTGACACTGTCCTCTACAGCTAAGATGCTGAACAACAGCTCAACCTGGAGCTGGGCTGCTGGGAGGTCGCTGGCGACGGCGTAGGCTGCAGCCCCTGTGGTAGTGGGTTGCCATGGGCTACCGTGTGTAGCCAGCAGCCAGTGTGAGCGGCCAGCAGCCACAGTGAGCAGCCGTCCAGAAGCCGGCGACTGATCTGCCTTGCCTGGGAAGAGTGCAATGATGGTGCCAACTTGGGCCAGTGAGGCAAGGTCCTCCACAACTAGACTGAAGAACAAAACAACAGCAACTTGTCTGTTCCCCTCCCCCCAATTCCCCAGCGCTGTTCCCATCCCCCCAATTCCCCAATAAAAATCTTTAAAAAAAAAAAGAAATTTGCTTAGCAAATCAGTCAAGAGTCAAGGGCTCTGAAAAACAAATCATTCTTAACTGCAGAGGATAAAAAACAAGCTACATGTAAATGAAGGAAATCTCTATCTTTTTCTTTAACTAATTTGCTTATCACCTTTTTGTCAGTATCTTAGAATCATCTCCATGACCAATTACAGCTGTGGAAGCAGTTCCTATTTCAGACATTAAATGTCCTTAAAAATCTTTGTATTTGGTGGATTGTTAATCACATCCCACGGGAACTATGGAGGTAGACGGGTACCTGGCCAAAACCATTTTGGTCTCAAATAAACCATGACTAACATTGTATCATAAAACTAAATATGAAATTATAACCTTTTATAATGATTTAAACTTTAGGGTGATGAGCTTGAGAGCTAAAAGAAAACAGCAGAGATCACTAGCCAAGCCTTTCATTTTCTGTATGAAGAAACCAACCCAGCGCAGCCAGGCTCACAGTCTATGATTTCAGCTAATTAACTGCAGAGCCAAGACCAGACCTTCTCTTTTCTGATTCCCATTGGAAAATGTTCTCTTCTCAGAATAGTTAATGTTAGAGAAATTCTGTTACAAAAATATGAAAGTATGGACATGTTAAGTATACAGAAAAATCCAAGGGTTATTAAAGAAACATAAAAAATATAAATTTATCATAAATTTGAGCTAGGATCAATATGTTAGCAAAAATGAACATGATTCAATTACTTGGTTTCTTTATTGATTTATTTTGCATTCTGAGAAAGGCCCTTTAAATTGATATGATGGTTCAGGTAATTTTTCTTTAAAGCTGTGAGGGAAATTTTATGTATTTTATTTATTCACTCAGGTTAGCGTAAGTTTTCCAGATCATACTTTCATTCCTTAGATTAGAATGTTTACAAATAGCTATTGTGATATCTAAGGAACTGAAGTCAAAGAATTTTTCATTACAGGGATTTAGAGCCTTGCTAATGGTGTCTTTCACAAATCAACAGCTTCAGAATCACTAGGGAGCTTGCTAGAAATACAAAATGTCAACTTCCCCTTCCCTGGACCTCCTGAATCAGAATCTGTGACTGAATAAGATCCCTGATGCACATTAGACAGAGTTTGAGAACCATTTACTTAGTAATCTCAGAATCAGGTCCTATTTGTTGTCATTTCCTTGTCCCATTTCTTTCCTTATCTTTTTTTTTTCATTCCCACCCTTAAAAAAGGAACATAAAGATATCAGTGTGTGCTTTAATAAGCAAAAAAGAAGTTCATATCAAAAGTGTTTACAAGGGAGGAGAGGAAATATGTCTTTTCACTCTGAGACACTATGGGGGACTAATTAGCTAATTATACTTATGTGTGCTTTGGGGTGATTTTAGCACTTAGCAGATGTGTATTCTTTTTTCCTTTTCTAGTTCCCCCCGAGTCATTATTCACATTGCTCCCGGCTCCCAAACCAAGGTTGTGTAACTGCATTGAGAAGTGGAGTATAGGAGTTAATTATACAGTGCTGAATTTACAGAGGGTGAGCCACAAAGCATCAAATGCAGGGACTGCTTGTTCCATTTCAGACAGAGAGCAGCAAAGGATTTATTGCTGGTTATATAACCTGGGAACCACAGTGAATAACAGCCATTGTGAGACAGAGGAGAAATGGCTGTGATTAAAAGCAAAGTAAAATACCTAAGTGCAGACCTCCATGTGCAAAGATGACTGATGAGTCTTTCTTCTAGTGAGTGAGTGAGTGACAGTCTAGTGTAGCCATTAAGAGCTTAGGCTGTGAGCTAAAACTTTCTTGATTCAAATCCCAGCTCATTTACTACTTTGCTTTATGACTGTGGGCAAGTTACTTAACTTCTCACTTCTTCATCTGAAAATAAGGGGAAAGAAAACAATAGCACCTACCTCACGGTTTACTATAAACAGTAAAGGAGAAAATCTTTGTAAAAAACACTTAGCAGTATCTAAAACATAGTAAGTCCTCAGTAAATGTTAGGAGGTATTTGTTTGTTCGTTGGTTTGTTTATTAAGATTCTTCTCATCAGCTTCCCTTGTGCACAATAGCATTATGTTAGGTGATTTTTCTGGGGTTTGGCTGTGGCCTGTGGCTATGACAAAGAGCTGCAGCTTTAACTGAAGGAAGTTCTCTGAAACTAAAGAGTTAAGTGTCTGTCGATAACCTCTGGAATAATGATTACTATGCTGGGTATGATGGTTATGGTAGTGGTATGAAGCGTAATGAAAAAAAAAGTGAAATATCACAGAATCCCTTGAGGCACTTAGATTCTGAATTGCGAGAGATAAGATATACACGTACATGGAAGAAAAATTCAGCAGATGATTCCAAAGCAATACGTTCACCTGTAGAAAATTGCGCTATGTAAAGTAGGATGTTTGGAGTGATTGAAAGGCAACCATCAATCTTGGTCATTAGCAGCTTTTATTTTCTTGAGGCATCTTCTACAAACAAGGAAGAAAAAAGGAGAGAACAGATGAACTAGGGAAAACTGTAGTTTAACATGCACTAAAGATTTTTTTAAATCTCTTTTTTTAAGCTACTTTCAAACCTTGATTTAGAAGCCAGCTAAGCACTAGAGGGCAGACTGTGAGCAAGTGTTGATATCAATAAGATTACAATAGCTGCCAGCCTCACCCCTCACTGTGTTTATAGGAACATAGAGTATAGGTAAGAGGCGAAGTTCTGAAGGGTGCTAATCGGACAGTGTTCTGAAATCTCACCATTCCACTTTATAGTGACTGCTTTTTAATACTTTCAAAGGAATTCAGGCTTTAGAGAAAATGGGAAAGTAGAAGACATTTAGAAATGTCCAACAAAAGGACGATGGTATGATGAAACATAAAGCTTGAGGTATTTTCCATCTTGTAGAATTTAGGAAGAAAAGGTGGTTTAAAAAAATGACTTAGAAATAATGTTGAAAACAGTGTTGGTTCCTTGTCCTCTATTCGCTACGGTCCCCGCGCTGCGCTCTCTGCATGTCCAGAGCCCTTTTAGAAAGATGCTTCTGCCTGCAGGTCTGGAAGGCCGGGTGAGGAGGGGATGGATTTGGGCTGGGGAGAGTGGGCAGTGGTAGAGCTGGTAGCCAGGGGGCTGTCAACAGCAATTACATTAACATTTGAGGAAAATAGAAAGACCCTGAACTATGGCCATGGCGTAAGGTGAGCAGTAGAAAGCGTTTTCAAAGGTCACTTGTGAAATTGTCATGGACATCTTTAAAATGGAAATAAAAAAACACTGTTCAGGGATAAACACTCAGGACCGTCTGTAATTCTAGAAACAAGTGAAAATCAGCATCTGTCAGGGATGGTGACACGTCCTGTGAGGGTCACCCAGGGCCTGGCTCATAGTTTCAGCCTTGGGTCCCCTTCGAAAGTTTGGTTCATAGTCTCTGATCCTCCGTCTAATCTGACTTTCTTTCTCTTTGCTTCTTTTCCACAGTGCCTGTGTATCCCAAGTCAGCAATGTCTCAACAACTGGAGAGTAAGTTACTTGAATTGGTTTGTTTTCCCCCTCCTTTCCCATGTATTAAACAGAAAAACAAAAACAGTTCTAATGTTGGATAGTATTGGAAGATTCATACAATCAGCAGCCAGATGAGTTTGAAAACTGCACGGAGGAGAGAGACCACTAAGTAAGAAGTGTTTCTATTGGAGCTTCTGTGTGGGTATGTGACTGGAGATGGCTCTGCCGTTTAAAAATGTGAGCGTTTTAGTTACTTCAGTCTAAATAATGTCAGAGTCAATATTTGCAAAGCAGTCTCTGCGCTTTGGGAGGTATCTTGCTACGGAGGATGCCATGAAAGGTTAATATATTAACTGTGTCTTTACTTCTTTTGTTAATCTTAGTCAGCCTACATTTATTTCCTGCCTGCACTGTGCCAAATAGTGTTAATGTCAAATTCACCTTGGGCTTGGCCTTCAGAGACTTTACAGCCTAATAGGACACAGTAAAGAAAGCAAATTAGCGATGGCAATAGTTCCATTTTTCACAGGGCAGTGGCAGTGCTCTGTTAATTATGTCCGTCTCATGCCTTTTTCCTAAGGCTCCCAGTTGCACTTTGACTAAAATCTAACCTCCAGCTACCTGCCCTTGCCTACTTCTCCAACCACATTGCTCATTATACTTCAACCACAGGACCTGTTTCTGGAGTAGGGCAAGTGTATGTATCTGCTGCAGAGCCCTTCCTTGTACCGGCTGTTTCTCTGCCTGGCGATTCACTTTCTTGTCATTCACCTCTTTGTCCAAATGCCATCTCATTTGAGAAGCCATCCCTGAGTACCCATAGTCACTCTCCAACCCTGTACTCTGTTTTTAGAAAGTATATCACTATCTGCAATTTCATGGTTTATTCGTTATCTATCTTTTCTCATAGCAATGTATATATTCTGTCATATTCATGGCTATTTTCCTAACACCTAGAAAAATGCCTGGCATATATTAGTGACTATATAAATATTTGTAAATAGTTCATTGTCCAAAGATTTCCAATCTCCCTTACTTCCTTGCTGGCACATGGATGGGCCTTTTTGGACCATCTCCCATCAGCAGGGATCAGGTGGACGGGGAGGGGAAGATGTGATATGATAAGGAGGAAGAGAGACTTAGAAGAGGCACTAGTTGGTATGAATTTGGATCTAATAGGATGAATTGGGATTTTTTTTTCCTTTTGTTTTAGGTTAGAAAGTAATCAGGGCAGGGGTGACTCTTCTTACTGAATTTTAAAGAGATAACATGATTATATCAAAACTGGCTTGTTCTTTCCTGCTTGTTTCCTGATAACCTGCACTTCTTATATGTCTTGTATAGTTTGGAAAAGGTGTGGGGTTAGTCAATATATATATATATATATATATATATATATATATATATATATATATATATATATATATATAAATGTACTCACCTTCCTATACCACTATTAGGTAATCTTGAATCATTGGGACATAGAATTCTAAATATAAAAGTTCTAATGCCCAAATTAGACTATGCTTACTCATTGTCTTAAAATAACTTTATTGAAATTCCTATGCGTCTGTTATAAAACTATACTTGGAAAATCTAAAGTTCTTCAATTTTTCAAAATTCATTTCTAAACCTAAACATTTAAAAAATATATATGTGGTTCTTTTTTCATTTTAACATCTTTATTGAGATACAACTGATACACAAAAACTACACGTATTTAATATGTATAATTTGATGTGTTTGAATGTGATTCTTTTTTCAACTGAAGGAAAACACATGTTTTGAGGAGTATAAGTTTAGAAATTTTCGTGCCAACTTATCTACAGTTAAATAGTTTGGTGATGAAAGAGGGTTTAGACACATTGAAAGATGATGTAGCTTTAAAAAATGATGCCTTATCATGTGCTCTTTTAAGTCCCTGTGATTTCCTATTTTTCTCAGTTTGAACAAAATAAATCTATTCTTCAACCTTCAGTAATATATATTGGGGGTGTTCGTATGAATACAACTTCAAGTATATGCATCACGCTTCAATTGAATAGAGGTTTGGAAAGATTTTGCCATTCTGTTGAGTAGTAATTGTTATGGTGAGGTGTTCCTTATTTAATAGCATTACTCCCTCTATAATTTTATCTTCAAGGGATTCTAAATAGATAATAGGTATTATAAAATTATTTGTGCCTATGTGCTTTGTAAATCATACTGTCTTCCTCTCCAGAACTGGTATGATATCTAAAAGAAACTCACCGTTGTAAGAATGGGTTTATTATTATTCTATAAGGAAAAACATCTTTCCTCAATCTTCCTTACATCCTTACATTAAATGAATGACACTTATTTCCTGAATGACTCTTATAACTGTTGCTAGACTTGCGAAGAGCATTTCAGTATTCCTAGACTCACAAAGATGAGAGACACAGTTATCAAATTGGTGGAATTTGTTCAGTTTAGTTGTTTTTCATGCACAATGCAAATATTTTTTAGATGAATGTCTCATACACTGTCTTTGCTCATGAAGTTGTAGATCTTTCGTTGAAAATACCAGTATTTCCAAATTTATGGGAGCATATTGTTAAAGGCAATCATTGATCAACTTGATGGCTTGATTCACTCTGTATTCTTTTTTTTTTTGTTAACCAGACTCTTAGAAAGAACCATTCGGTCAGCTGTAGAACAGCATCTCTTTGATGTTAATAGCCCTGGAGGCCAAAGTTCAGAGGACTTGGAACCTGGAACTTCATCAGCATCTTCTACCACATCCGCCAGACAGAGACGACGCCAAGCCAGGGAGCAGGATGAAGTTCGGCATGGCAGAGACATGTGAGTTGGCATTGGTACTTCTTGTTTGTGTTTTCTCTTCTTTTGAAAATATACCCCTGACTTAGTCACTGCCATAGTCACGCCCGTTTCAGTATTTAGGTTAAGACTTTAAAAGTTTTCATTGGGACCCTTCTAAACTTAGCTAACATTTGGAAATTCATGGGTGATTGAATAAATATTTCAGTGTCATATAAATGTTTGCTATATTGTAGGACGTTACCTCTGATTTAATATACTTCATGGCTTCCTCGTGAATATTTTATTTCAAGGGGTACTGAATGGTTGGAAGAGTAAACTGTCTTTTCCTTGTTAGACAACATTCACTTGGCTGTTCACTAGCTTATGAACCAGCGAATTTTTCTACTATATTGACCTGATTAAATACTAGACTATCACTATAATACTCTGACATTTGATTATTTTTAGTATAAGACAGGTTGAATTAAGTCTAATCAAAAGTGGAAATGCTTAAGATTTTTATTATTATAATGACTAATTTTAAGGCAGCCCAAGAACATAAATTTCAAGAATAGTATTACAAGGAACTTTATTCTCCATTAAAAGATTTGATAAAATACAGATGAATAAGCTCAAGAATGTGAGCTCTGAGCAATAGGGTTGCCGGTTCGATTCTCAGCCCGACTGAGCTGCCACTGGGCTGCCAACAGGTGGCAGGATGGCTCAGCTAAAAAAAAAAAAAGAGAGAAAAAAAATACAAATGAACTGTTGCCATTCATATCATTGAATAATCATGATTTAAATTGTCAAGGAAAATAAAGTTACATATAATAAACTATATTCATACATTTTTCCCAGAAGTTTTAATATATTTATGTACTTTAGTATTTAGCCTCTGTAAAGTTATTGTTTTGAACTCATTATTAAATGTCAGACACTAAACCCAATGGGGACTACCATCTTTCTTTTTCACCTGGACTCATAATCTCCACATCAAAATCTTTGTTTAAAAAAAAAAACCAAACTTCTTGCTTAAAGAGAGACACAAGAGATAAATAGTATAAATAAATCCCATGCTGCCCGTCATTGAGATGTTTAAGGGCTACATAATAAATGTAATTTTAGAAGTAAAACAATGTCAGTAGTATAACCCATTGACTTTTTAAGTGACATAAGCAGCACTTTTTTTTCAGTTTTATTGAGAAATAGTTGACATATATCACTATATAAGGTTAAGCCATAAAGCATGATAGTTTGACTTACATATATTATGAAATAGTTACCACAGTAGGTTCAGCTAACCACTTTTTTAAAAAACATTTGTCTTGGAGCTGGTGGATAGAAGGGGGCGCTGTAATATTTCCTTTAAAAAATAGAAAACATTATGATACAGAAGATATTTACATTTAAAATCAGCTACTGACTAAGCTTTATAGGAAGTGTTTAGGAGTATAATTAGTTTGTGTACTGCTTATATTGCGTTATACATCAAGCATAAATTATTCATTTAACACTCTTATCCTCTGCCTCGTACTTGGCCAAATAGTATGCAGCAACACTGTGCATTTTTTAAATATCCTTAGTGTGTCACAACATTATGCTTTTCTTTCTCTTGGTTTGGACAGAGGGATAGCAAGCAGAGACTGGAAGTGGTAGTGGGCCTGATAGAACAGAGATGGGTGGTGGCCGTGGTGATGGTGGATGTGTAGCTGCAGATCGGGGAGGAATGCGGTGAGGTAAGGTCAAAAATCAACAGGAGCTAGACAGGGAGAGAAATAGGAAACATAGGGGTAACCTCTACTGCAGATTTTAAATATAGGTTCCCACGTCCAGGCATACTTCTAGCATAAGTTATCTTGATTATATTTTACTGTCAGCATCGGGAACAAAAGGAGATGGAGAATAATAGAGACTTGACTAATCATCTAAACATCTATAAAACTTGAGCTTTTCCTTTAATTTTTCATCTCTGGTATTCCCTTCACCACTCACTCTGGTCACTTGTGGTCAAACCATAGCTGTACATTGAGTGAAAGACTCTTGGGGTGCAAACTATATATAGCTGAGTAACTTTACAGTCTCACTGTAGTCGTTCTCCTAAGTATGTGGTCTGAAAATCAGCAGTCCCCTCCGTGTCCTCCCGGACCCCCTCCTAAGCTGTCACTGGGTCCCTGTCATGCCTTGATAGTCCTTCAACTCCCAGCCCATACTAAACCACTTCTCTGAGCTTTCCAGGTCTTTGGAAAAGTGAGACCCTTACCTCTTAGGGCCCCAGACCGACTTCTCTTTCCCCCATGAAAGCCCTTCTCCCATGTGTCCCCAGGAGATACACTCACATGGCATCTGTTGTGAGAAGTTGAGAAGCATTATTAGATAGTCTATATAGTATGTTTTTCTCAGTATATGCTTATATATAATTCATCCATTTATCTAAGATTTTTCACTAGGCTTTCCTTAAAAAGGTATGATTAAGCTAGACTTTATTATATTCTGTTGAAAACTATTAGCTCTACAAAATGATTACAAAAATATTTTGAAAAATAGAAATTTATTGAAATTCATAATCCATCTATTTTGCCTCTAATAACTTAAAGCTGCAACCATATAAAAAAAATTCTTGAAGCCAGTGGTGACCATATTTCAAAATGAGATTAAAGAGTCAATAAGCTCTGTGCTAAAATCATCATAGCAGATTTTTGAAATAAGCAGTTGAGAAATTTGGCTAATATGATAAATACTTCATTGTGGTGCACACGATTTCTTCTTTGTCTAAATTCATAAGGAAACATCAATCTTATATTATTACTTGCCACAATAAAAATGCAAAAAGTTAAGTGAAAGTGTTCAGTTTAATTCATTTATTTAAAAAATTACCATCTGCCAGGTACATGGAAATATTGTTGAATCTTGGTGATGGGTGTATTGAAGTTCATTGTGATAGCCCATTTTTCTATATGTTGAAAATTTCATAATAAATATTTTTAAAAAGCAAAACATTTAAATGAAAATAGTTTTAATGTTCCAAAACACAGTGAACTGGAAAAACTTTTTTTTTATGTAAATATTACATTAAATTCCGACTGCAAAGTGAAAAGAAAAGCATGCTATGTTAGGGGAATAATATAAATGGCTCAGTATTGCTAAAATATTAAGTGTGCATGTAGGTGGTGTGGAGAAAGCTGGAAAAAAAAACATTAGAAATAAGACTTAGATAGTGAAAGTGAGAGGCCACAGAGATCTAAGTTCAGGTCAAAGGTCAAAGGCCAGTGAGGTCAAGTATGATTGAAACCTGTCAGAATGTTGCCGGAAGGAATTGTGCTCCTCACAATGATATAAGTGCTGTGCCTGAGAAGCACTGACTCACACAACAGCAAAGACTTTCCGTTGAGGAGAACAGGATTTCCACATGAGCACAACTGCTCGATCAGATTTTCATATATTTATTTGCATTGGATTTATTCCAGCCATTCATTCACTATTCACAAAGATTATAAAATAAACTTTGTCTTTTCATTTCTAAAAATAATTTTTAGTTTTTGTATTGGTCTGCTCAGAGTACCTCAGACAGGGGGGGCTTATGTTTTCACAGTTCTGAGAGACTGGAAGTCCAAGATCAAGGTGCTGACAGGAGTGTATTTTGATGAGACCTCTCTCTTTTACTTGTAGACTGCCTTTTCACTGTGACCTCACACGGCCTTTTCCTCTGTGTGTGTGCTCTCCTGGTGTTCCTTCTTCTTATAAGGACACCTGTTCTATTGGATTAGGCCCCCACCTTTGTGACTTCATGTAACCTTCATTACCTCCTTAAAAGCTCTATCTCCAAATACAGTCACAATGGAGATCAAGTCTTCAGCATATGAATCTGAGGGAGAAAAAGTTAGTCTATAACAGTTTTCAAACATAAAACCACCCCTCCTTTAAAAAATTATAATTGGATGTATTCCCCAGGAGTTAGATAAAATATGAAGAGTGACAAGAAGACAGAATTTGAGTAGTAAAACAGTGTTGAATTTCAGACCAAACTCATCCATCCAGCCATCCACAGAAGGCTCTGCCATCAGTACATGGAGGGGAGATATTTAAGAGTTTTTATATAAGTATATGTGCTGGTGTGTTAGTTGCTATTCAGATTTTCCTCATGTCTTCAATTATTTTATATTAGAGTTTTTCATATAAATATTGCACATCTTTTATATAATTTTACTAAATCTGTACAGTTTTACATTAAAAGTTGTATAAAATAAGAATAAATTAAATATGGAGTCTTAAAATTTACCAAAGGTAACATAACTTTTAAAATGTTATAATAACATTGATTCATAATTTTGTTCCATTATCGCCAATCTAAGACAGGATATGAATATAGATTGCAGAATAAATATTTAATGTTATCTTTCATTTTTGGATATGGTTGAACTGATAGTAAAATATGGTCATCTGTTTTTAATCTTTAGAGCTCATTTATTTCAAGATATAGCTTTAGCTGTTTAGCGGGAGGTACCTTTAGGGTCATACTATGTAGAAGGGTAAAACCTCATTCGCTTGTACCTTACCAAGCCATGGTGCTATGCTGGTGGTTTATATTGTTCTGTGATGTAGTAAAAGACAAACATTTTGCTAAGTAATTTAATTTTGTGGAAACCTCTTAAAAGGGAATGTTTAAAATACTTAAACTGTTTCAAGAAAATTAAATGAATTAAATTATTACATTCATATCTACTTCTAAAACTAAGTCATGAAGGACCTCCAGTTATAAGCTTACGTCTTAGAACTCCTTATACTGGGAAGTAACAAATTCATATTTCATTTAAAATGCTTTGTATTCCATAGTTTTTATTATACTATTTCTATCAAGATTATCTAATGCAGTCATATTTAGATACTAATGCACTTCTACTATGCTAAAATGTCTATCATTTGGGAAAGTCAGTATGTCTCATTCTAGAGAAACAGGCATCATATTTCCTTTTCAGATTTTCTCCATACATTGTATTAATTTATAAGATTTATTTGTGTGGTAAATGAATGTGTGTGTGTGTGTAATATTTGACTAATGAGAAATGATTTTGTTAGCCTGCACTAATTCCCCTGTTTGAATACACATTACTTTGGGTACAAATACAAAAGCTGTTCATTGATAGAAACACAGCCCTTGCCAATTTGCCCCTAGGAATAATTTCTCTTTCAATGTGTTTATTTGGCACAAACAGGTCTTAGGAGTGGCACTGTGCTCAGAATTTGATCAAAATTGCAAGCTGAAATTTCTAGGCACTCTTCTGACATCCTATGTGATGCAGTGGCAGTGTCATTAAAAAGTCCCTTTTACCTTTGAAAATAAAATTAGCTATTTTTTTTTTCAATTTAAGCGGACTTATCAACAAAGAAAATATTCCTTCTGGATTCATCAACCTTGATGATTGTATTTTGAATGCTCAGGAAGTGGAAAAATTACATGAAAATACTTCGGGTTATATTGGAGAAAGGGGCAAACCTAAACGTCAGAAATCCAGTTCCAAACTTTCTGAGCTCAGTGAAAATCAAGATGGCCTTGTGGTAAGTGAATCATTTTATAAATTTTTTACTTGTAGCCGGTTAGGAAATATCACATCTCTTTTCCTTGCTTTGTAAAAAATAAAAAGTAATTTCAATCTTGAGTTTCACAGAATTATAAAATATGAGTTCTGAAAGAGGCCTTAGAGCTACTAAATATACACCCTTCTATTTCTTTTTAATAAATGTAAAAATCAAGTCTGAGAAAGGTTACATTCCGCCGAACGAACCAGAGACAGTACACACCTTGATACTATTCAAATTGGTCAGATTTTGGTCTCATTCTTTTGAGCATTTTAAAATTTTATTTTTGGAACAAAGTTGTCAGTAATTTGCATTTCCCCTTGTTTTCTCTCATTCTGTTTCTTCTTATCTCTATAAATATGTACAAACCCATTTTTAATGAATGAACTTAAAACGAAGTGAAAAAAAATACAAAGGGAAAGAGATTCAACTATTTTTGTGTTCAGAAATCTCTTCATGTTCAGAATTTTATCTTCAAATCTATTTGTATCAAGTATTTTCTTCCAAATTAATCAAAAGCACAAAAAAATTAATCTTCTACACAGTTACCTCAGACCTGAACCCTGGATCATAAATTTGATATATAAGCTGTTAGAAGTGGTTTCAGTCACTAACTAAATATTTACTTGTTTTAACTATTAACATACGTCATCCTTTTTTGTGTATGCTTCTTTTTCTCTGAAAAATGAGAACAAAAGTCTGTCTTCTAATTCTCTTTAGCTTTAAAAAATTTAACCAAGAATAAAAAAATCCAAAGATAGATTTTATAGCATAACATGGAGTCCCTAGTAAAAACAGGGAATATACATTCTTATTGTTCAGTGTGTAAATCCCCTGATCTACTTTATCTCTGACCAGTTTTTATTGGGTTGTCGGAAAATTCATGACATATTTTTTCTGTGTTTTTCGTTGCAAAAATGCATCATGACTTTTCTGACACCCCAGTAGCTCCATGCTTGGTACATACATTTAGCTCCATATATGTAGCAAAACTTAGGGGTAACCTATTTTTTCATGGTCGATTTCTACACATGCTCACCAAAGATTCCCAATTTTGCCCTAAAAAAAAAAAAATATATATATATATATATATATATATATATATATATATATAGTCATGGGATATAAAGTCTTGGGAACACATGTTTATTCTATTTTTTTCCTCAAAATGTCTTGATACTCTGTTTTATAGAAGTGAACTGATCAGCTTGAACTGACAGAGCAATCATTTATCTCAGACCCATGTCTGACACAGTTCTTCAAATAAAGAATGTAAGCTTTGGAACCATTACACATTAAATGTTATTTAATATTAGCTCAATTCTTATTTTGGGGAAAAGTAAATTTAAAAAAAACTATACTCAACTTCATTAGCTCTTTGGCCCATGATTTGCTTATCTGCCAAAGAGAATTACAGTGACTAAAAATATGACACTTGGCTTCTTTTAAAATAGTGTACTTCTCTCTGTTTGACTCCCTTTTGGCTGAACTGAGTCCATCAGTAATTTTTTCCACAAGGAATAGTGTCTTGGATTAGCTAAGTGGTAATAGCTAATAAAAGTGGAAAAGTACATTTATTCCTTAGAATACAAGATCAGACAATTAAGTTCGCGAACTCATCCTAGAAAAAGTGCTACATACCTCATTGCTGAAGATCAGTATGGTCAACTATGAAGTACTCCCCTTGGGAAGCTATGCACTGACAACAGTGCCTAGTCCACCCTTCAAAGCAATTTTGAAACTTTTTCTGGAATGGCCATCAGAGCTGTCATATTACCCTTGATGTCCTGAATGTCATCAAAACGTCTTCCTTTCAAAATTTCCTTTATCTTCCGGTAAAGAAAGAAGTCACAGTCACTCGGGGCCAGATCAGGTGAGTAGGGAGGGTGTTCCAATACAGCTATTTGTTTACTGGCTAAAAACTTCCTCACAGACAGTGCAGTGTGAGCTGGTGCATTGTCATGATGCAAGAGCCATGAATTGTTGGTGAAAAGTTCAGGTCATCTAACTTTTTCACACAGCCTTTTCAGCACTTCCAAATAGGAAACTTGGTTAACTGTTTGTCCAGTTGGTACAAATTCACAATGAATAATCCCTCTGATATAAAAAAAAGTTAGGAACAAGCTGGTGAACTTAATTGTGCGAACTGGTGTGTTTGATTGATATAACTAGGAACATAGTCTTTATTTGAAAACATTTGAATAGGGAAGCCTAATTTCATTTTGGGTATTTTATGTGAAAGGATTTTCCCCACCTTAGTTGCCAGTTCCGCATTCCAGGATTGTGCCTGTCACATGTTAATGTGAGTTAAGTGGGCCATGTCTTTTTTGCAATGAATAATTTAAAACACTGCCAGCACAATTTAGACAGAAGAAAAACTTTCCTCAAAGTGAGGGCATTCTCTCAGATCTTTTCTAACTCATATTTCATGAATTTTTAAATCTAATCTTCATAGATAACCACAAATCAAAGAGCCAGAAACATAACATTGGCTAGTATTTAGACTACATCCTAAAAGTTAAGTTGTGCATCTTAACTTCCCACTTATTTTTAACCTTCTAATTTTACTTTCCCCAGCTCTCCTTCAAAATCTTTTTCTCCTCCATTTCAAGCTCTTTGCACCCTGATTAAACATTTGTTCCTATAGCTGGAAAAAAAAGAATTATGCATAAGTATATGCCTTCTGTATGCCAGGAAATATTTCAGATCCTAGAGATACAGCAGTGAGAAAAACAGGCAAAAATAATTGGCCTTGTGGAGCTTACATTCTAGTAGGGGAAATTGACAATAATAAAGAAGAATAAGTAAAACATAGGCTATATTGGATAGTGATAACTACTAGAAAGAAAAATAAAGGAGGAAATGAGAACAGGAATTATAAGGGGATTTTTAAATAGAATGGCCAGAGAAGACCTCCCAAGCATTTGACGTTTGAGTGTAAAGATGTAGAGGGAGTAAGGAAACAAGTCATACTATAGTAGCAGGTACAAAGGCCTTGAGACAATAATTTATCTGGAATGCTCAAGAAACCATAAAGACATCACTGTGGCTGGAATAGAGTGAGCTAAGTGAAAGAAGTAATGGGAGAGGGAGCAGATTAAGTAGAGTCTCCTAGATCATTATAAGGACTCTGCCTTTACTCTGGGTGAGGTAAGGATCCATTGGTGGGTCTTGGTAGAATGGCGACCTGACTTACTGAAATTCGATTTAGCTGCATTGAGCATTAACAGTAATTGGGCAAGGGCAGAAACAGGGAAACCAGTTAGGAAGCTATTGGGATGATAATGGTTTGAGCTTTGGTGATACCAGAGACAGTACAGATTATCTTACAGGCCGTACAATTGTTAACCATGCGGAAGGTCCGGCTGCCCGCCGCATGAAAGCCAAAACTCGAAAGACGAGGTTGGTGGAAAGAAAAGCAGGTTTTATTCAAAAATGCCAGCATTGAGGGAAGACAGTGGACTCCCTGTCACAAAGACTGCCTTCTTTCTCTGCATATCGCCAAAAGGTTTGATAGACACGCAAGGAGGGACAGAACAAAGGAAGGGGAAGTTAGCCAGGCAACTTCAGGAAAAAGCACTCCCTAGAGCAGCGGTTCTCAACCTGTGGGGCGCGACTCCTTTGGGGGTCGAACGACCCTTTCACAGGGGTCGCCTAAGACCATTGGAAAACAAAAAGATATTTACATTACGATTCATAACAGTAGCAAAATTACAGTTATAGAGTAGCAATGAAAATAATTTTATGGTTGGGGGTCACCACAACATGAGGAACTATATTAAGGGGTCGCGACATTAGGAAGGTTGAGAACCGCTGCTCTAGAGCTCCACTCATTGTATTTTCTTACCTGCTCAATTGATAAAGTGGTTTTTCTAAATTCTAAGGTTAACCTCTAAGGTTAAGAAGGATCTTGGAAATTCTATTTTCTACCTCCATCTCCCCACCCCACCACCATGTATGTGTATAAATATACAGATACACACACTTTTCATTGCTTTCTCTCCATTGGCTCATTTCTGTTGGCCTTGGAAGTCTCTATCTCTAAAAACTGTCTAGAGCACAATTTAACAGCTTGAATCAAATTGCATAACTCAGTCATGCAATTTCTCCAATAATCCTACCTCTGCCACTTTGTTCTACTACATAATCTTAAATATGGAAAAGACCATATGTATTAATTTGCTCACCACAAGGGTCTATATAATCATGGAAAATTAGAAGCAATTAAATGTTCAAAAATAGGAGACCAGGTAAGTAACATTTGTATGTCAGTTCAAAAAAATAGGCAACGATTAAAATTATGATTCTGAAGACTGTAATAAAATAGAAAATGTTAAATAATGGAATATTCCTCAGCCATAAAAAAGAATGGAATCTTACCATTTGTGACAACATGATGTACCTAGAGGATATTATGCTAAGTGAAGTAAGACAGAGAAAGATAAATGCCACATGATCTCACTTATATGTGGAATCTAAAGAACAAAATAAACAAAGAAAACAAAAGCAGACCCATAGATTCAGAGAAAAAAACTAATGGTTGCCAGATGGGAGGGATTTTGCAGAGCTGGGTAAAAATTGGTGATGGGATTAAGAAGTGCAAATCAGTAGTTCTATTAGGAGATGTAACATACAGCATTGGGAATATAGTCAATAATATTGTAATAACTATGTACAGTGCCAGGTAGGCACTAGACTAATTGGGGGGAGGGGGTCACTTCATAAATTATATAAGTGTCAACTGTAATTAAAAAATAACAGAAAATATTTGAAAATAGTTGTATTGTGTTTTGCATGTATTATCAATTTTAATCTTCCCAATACTCCATAAGGTAGATATTATTATTCTAAACATGGGGAAAATGAGGCACAAAAGATTAAATAACTTGTTTGAGATCACGCATAGATGGTGGGGGATTTCACTGTGCTCTCCCTCAACATTGAAAGTAAGTCATGAAGCAGAATATACAGTGCATGCA